CCACCTTACAGCCTGGTTATATCAATGTTAACAATAAAAACATGTCCACTATCGTCCATCCTCTGTCTCAGCTCTGTGTTTGCTTCAGTATAATCTCCAAATCAGGGCAGTGTTGGTATTGTGGTTCGGGCGTCTCTGCCCATGTAGACTGTGGGAGTGTGTTCAGGCTGCTGGAAGGAAAGGTGATGACTGATGTATCACTGAAGACGTCAATCAGACGAGAAGGACAGGGCAGCTGTCTCTCCTCACACAAATCCACAGCCTCACTGATGTAGCTGTAGTCCCGCTTGAACTCTCTCTCGATCGTCCTGTGAGAGAAACAGACAGCAAACGTCACCTCACATCTCCACTCGCTTTAACATCATTTCCATCATGTATTTCTTGTACAAACCTCTCCCTTATGCCACTGAAGCTGTTTCCAATCATTATCACCAGAGGCAGACACTGTGCACTCCAGTTCTTCCACAACAGGTTGTTGTACAGGGCTTTCCCACAATGCATCAGGTAAAAGAGCGTGGGCTTTGTCGCGAGACGCTTCCCCTCCTGCACAACACAGTGAGACAAGATGCTGTTGTTTATGCATTGATGTAACACCTATCAAACAGCCCGTAAGTAATGAAAATCAACTTGCAGCACCCTGACACTTACTTGTGAGTGTAATTATGATATAACCATGTAATGTCTGCATAATCTACTCCCCTATTCTCTATGAATTCATTTTCATACATCTTGAGATTGAATTAATGAACAATAATGGCTGCCAGACAGAAACTCGTACTTCGAAGTTTGTGAATCCTTTGAGAATTGTCACAATTTCTGCATAAGTATGACCTAAAACATCATCAGATCAAGACCCCTAATTAAACAAATGAAGAAAAGCTAATTACACTTGGTCATTTATTTTTTTTGAGAAACATGATCCAGTGTTACATATCTGTGACTCACTAAAACTCTGTGAACCTTTGCACAGTTTTTGATGGGTTGTTGTCTTGCTGCATGACTCACTTTCTCTTGAGATTAAGTTCACAGACAGATTTCCCAACATTTTCCATTAGAATTGGTTGGTATAATTTAGAATTAATTGTTCCATCCATCCAAGGTCCAAATCTTGCTGGAAAGTAGTGTTTTCCTTTCTCCAAGCATAGCAATCATATTACACCAAAAAGTTCTATTTTGGTCTCATATGCCCACAAAATATTTTTTTCTAATAGTCCTGTGGCTAGTCCACATGATCTTTAGAAAACTGCAGAGAGGAAGCAATGTTCTTGTGTGGAGAGCAGCAGCTTCCCTCCTTGCTGCACCCTGGGTTCCTCTGTGATCTTTCAGATTGTTACATGCCTCGCTCTTGCACTGATCTTTGTTGGTTGACTCCTCCTAGTGAGGGTAACAGTTGTCTTGACCATCCTCAGTTTGTACACAGTGTGTCTGACTGTCGATCTGACTGTGAACTGGTGTAGCTCAAACTCTTTTTGTATCCTTCTTCAGCCTGATTAGCAGCAACTCTTTTTTTTAGGTCTTCAGAAATCCGCTTTGATTGTAATACTGATGCACTGTGAAGATCAGACTTTGATAAATCCCTGTTCTTTAAATAAAACATGGTGTTTGCTCCCATCTGATTGAAAAGACTTGACTCGAATTTCACCTTCAATGTTTTTGCTAATCCTAAAGGTTCCCATACTTTCCCACTCCCAGATACACAATAATGGATCATTGTTCTCAAGAGATAAAAGATTGTGTATCACATTCTGGTCTCTTTTATTCATTTGGGATCTCTTTTTTCTACTTTTAGAAACTGGGTGAAAATGTTTTAGGTCACATTAATGCAGAAATAAAGAGAATAATAAAGTGCTCATACATTTTCAAGCACCACTGCATAGTTTGATGTGACAAATGGTTGCAACTTGGCAGAATGTGAAATATTTGAAATGTGTTTTAACTGACACTGCTCCTAAGAATGGTTCCCCACACAGTGCACGTAATAGCAGTGTTTCCACAGGATGAAAAACAACAACTGACCTCATTTTCTGTGAGCACAGTCAGACCCAGCTCTCTCAGAACATCCCTCTCTGCTGAGGAGAATGCAGGATCATAAACAGAGCAGTCCTTCAATGGAATCTAAAGGGAAATGAACAGTGAGATACAGAATTTGTCATGAACAGGGGCTAGTGCTTGTTATCTCCACCAACCTGTCCAGCATCCAGCAGCAGCAGCAACATAGCCAGCTGGTATCGAGCTGCGACACATGAGGAGAAGGAGCCGAGGCCGTAACACACACACTCCAGATGCTGACATGATCTGCCTCCTTTGTCCGTCTCCAGCTGCTCCTCGGTGTCCTTGTTGTCTGGAGGTGTTGAGACGGATGCTGCCACCAACAGCTGCTCTGAGGACAAGAACCTTCACAGTCACCAAGCTGCAAGCAAAAGCATTCTTCAACCAACCTACATGTCTGGTGGTACCTCTACCTGTCTCAACACACTCACCTTTCCACTCCTGCCAAAACTCCTCACATCTCAACTCAGATCTGCAGAGGCAACATATAAAAGCAGGATTATAGGTTTTTGTTTTGTTTGTTTACAAGCCTGGGGTAAAAGTGCGTATTCACTGAGGTGTCTTACACTGTGTCTCTGATCCGTTTGACAGTTTTCCCGATATCCAGCTGTTCCTGGCAGCATGTTGAAGCTGAAGACACTTGGAGTGACTTTGATTTCCTCGCTGCACCTTTTCGTCGCCGAGCCACCTGCCACTGCTCTCCGGTGTCCGACATTTATCCTGACTCACCGGTTCCATGTACACCAGTCCTGAAAATACTTGTTTTAATACCGAGGTTACGTTGTCATTAAAGTGATGTTTGCCGTTGGCCAGGCTGCAACACGTGGGACTATTTTGAGTGTGACACATGTTCCCTCTTCCGGTGTTACGCCAAAACTCGTACGCTGCAAAATTTAATTCTCGAGTAGCCTTTGTTTTTTGTTTTTTTAAAAAAGCACATTTACTGTGGAAAAATCATAGACGGTATATATATATACAATCTACAAAAATGTACAGCCATCTTGTGTAGTCGGTTCATATTTGTAGTTTCAGATAACAACATAATCGTTTATTTATGGGGAACGAGCTTTTTTTTTTTTTTTTTTTTAAATGCATTTAAATATTGTTTTGCCATACGAACTGCCATGAATCAAAACTAAAACTGTTTTCTACTACACCTTGCTTTTGGTCTGTAAAACACTCGGTTCACAAACCTTCATTAAAAAAAAGAATACAAAAGCAGTGAACTTTTGGGCCGCCGTAGATGCGCAAATCAGCACGAAGTTCTTCAGGTACAAAATTTAGCACAACACCAGCACAACCCGGAAGTACTTGTGTGTTCGCATGTCAAACGAAACAGCATTAGCTGGATTATTTCTCATTACTGCCTCAGAAGAAAGTATGTATATGTAATCTCCGGGTAGGGGGATACATTACACTTCAGGTATGTTAGAGAATATAGCTTTTTTCATTGTTTCCCAGCACAAAAATTTTTCATGTAAAGCGCGAAAATGATGATATATAACTTGCTAACGTTAGCTGTTGCTAGTAAATGTTAGCCTACGTTGCGTAGCCTAACTAGCCAGCTATTTGAGATGATGGTGTTCATGTTTATAACATATGTATATAATATATATTTTTCTCTCAGATCATATTAATGCATCGCTTGTTAAACCTAATTGTTGTTGACTTCATATCGGGGCAAGCTGCAGCTACAGACTACATTAAATAAACAGAACCTGCTGAAAATAACGTTAGTTTCACCAAATAACCTCCTTTTTTTTCTGTCCCGAGCTTTCCGCCACAACTTTAGGATTTTATCAACAGACTGAGTTCTCTCAGTTGCCACGGAGATAGATGCAGCTTGTCATTGGCAGTTTTTCTGCTCCTTAAACCGTCCTTTGTTTCTTTTAACGTCCAGAGATGTCCATGTCCCACCTGTACGGGCGGAGAGATGAGGAGGAGGAAGGGGTGGAGATTGAGAGCTTCGAGGTGACAGACTGGGACTTGGCCAACGAGTTTAACCCGGACCGCCGCAGACACAGGCAGACCAAGGAGCAGGCCACCTACGGCATCTGGGCTGACAGAGACTCAGACGAGGATGAGAGGCCGAGCTTTGGTGGCAAGAAGTAAGGCAGGGGTTTGTTTTTGTTGGTGCTCCATCTTAACTTTACCAGTTAGTAATGGAATGAGGTAATTGAAGGGCTGAAAAACTTACCAAGATTAGTCAATGTCGATAGTTATTGATCATTTTAAATGACATGTTTAATACAAACCTTGAGAAAAAAACACCTTATTAAAATGTATCCGCTTTAGCCCATTAATTAAGGTACACAAGTACTGATTTTAATGTTAACACAACCACAAAAAACACATGAGCACATGCATTTACACATATAAAAGATCTGATTATAATTGGCCAGTAATGAGACATGTGTCTAGGGCCAGTACATATTGCTGTTGTGTAATCACCCAGGAATAGTAAACTCATGAAAAATAATAAATTGTTGTGTTTTTTTTGCCAGATCTAAAGACTACACTGCCCCAGTGAGTTTTGTGAGTGCTGGACTGCGTAAGACTGCAGCTGAGGAGAAACAGCAGCAAAAAGGAGAAGGAGACTCTGATGACTCTGATGAAGATGCCCCTGCAGCACCTCCCCCTCCTCGCAGCACTGCACCCAAAAAACTCCAGATGGTAAATTTTGTTGCGGATGCATTTTTTTGCTCATTGTTATCTGTAATAGAAAAAATATACAAACAGTGATATGACTTGTTAAAAATGCGTTGTTTTGACAGGGCACTTTCCGTGGGAATCAGTCGCAGAGGTTTGCGGGTGGCATACAGTCTGGGCAGGGTATTGGTAACTGGGAGAAGCACACAAAGGGAATTGGACAGAAACTTCTGCAGAAAATGGGCTACCAACCAGGAAAAGGCCTGGGAAAGAATGCTCAAGGTGGGTAATGCTGAGGACGGCATGTTATTGGGATGTTTTGTGACTTTGTGTTTATTTCAGAAGCACCAGAGTAGACTTGATCTAATCAAATATGACACTATCCCATTGCTGCAGGTATTGTAAACCCTATTGAAGCGAAGGTTCGCAAAGGAAAGGGAGCAGTCGGTGCTTATGGCAACGAACGAACCCAACAGAGTCTCCAGGACTTTCCTGTGGTTGACTCAGAAGAAGAGGAGGAAAAGGTAAAGTGTTGAGACAACATTGTATTTGCCCTTTGCCCCCCACTTTTGTTGTTGATTTTATAGCAGAAATTGTGAAGTCATTATTTTCGACATAATTCTTCATTTCTGTCTATATAGGAGTTTCAGAAGGAGCTCGGTCAGTGGCGAAAGGATCCTGCAGGGCCTGCAGGAAAGAAGAAACCAAAGTACTCCTACAGAACTGCAGATGAACTGAAGGCTAAAGGCAAAGTGGCAGGACGGAGCACAGCAGCGTCTGCTGGAGAGCTAGCACAAGTCAAGGTGTGTTCAAGTCTTTGATAGAGCTGTTAACTCTTCTTTGCTCCTGTCTCAAAGAAATGTTATAAGGACACTATGGAATGGCTGTAATGGTGTAATAGGCTTTGGGAGCTTAAATTGTTATACTTTGGTTAATTCTACTCAATACAAAGCTCTGCGAATGAAATTGTTATAACGATATAAGCTCATAGATTGCTGCCATTTTTGTTTGTAAAAGTAACTAACTTCATTTCTCTTTCTGTATTCAGGTAATCGATATGACTGGAAGAGAGCAAAAGGTATATTACAGCTACAGTCAGATGTCCAACAAGCACAGTGTTCCTGATGAAGGTCCACCAAGTATGTCCACTCGGGATCAGAAGGGGTCTGGCTTTGCTCTCCCTGAGCTCGAACATAACCTGCAGCTACTGATAGACCTTACAGAACAGGACATATTACAGGTAGAAGGACCCACAAATTTCCTTCAAATATTTTTATGTGCATTTCAGTGTACCACTCTGTTACTTCTACTACTTACTAGCATGCTTTCTTTTATTCTTATTACCCCTTTTGTAGTCTGCCAGACGTCTGCAGCATGAAAAAGATGTAGTTGTGTCTCTGAGCCATGAGTCACGAGCGTTGCAGAACAGACTGGATGCAGAGCAAGATTCCATCCAGAGAATGGAAGCTGTGCTGGCACTGGTGGAGCGTTTTCCTTCAGCGGAGGCGGCACCAGGGGAAGGACCCTCCCTGCAGGTCATATACAGTGAACACACAGACTAGCTGCTGTTAACAGGCTGTTTCAGTTTGTTAGTTCCTGCTGTTTTCATGTCCACATAGGTTATTTTGGGTGCTCTGCTTCTCTTTGTTCAGGAGTGTGCTCGGATCTTTGAGACATTACAAACTGATTATTACGAAGAATACAAGACAATGGGATTGGCAGACCTGGCTGTAGCTGTTGTTCATCCGTTACTTAAAGAGAAGCTTTGTTCCTGGGACCCTCTGAAGGTACGCTTTTGCAGTCATTTCTTTTGATAGAAATCATTATGTATTGAAATCATTAATATTTAAGCCACCACGACTACACTCAACTGTTGTCTGACCATTACAGGACAGCTCCTATTGTCTGGAAGACATCGGCCAGTGGAGAGCAATCCTTGAATCTCGAGACCTCCTCTCCAGTGGCCCAGATTCAAATATGGATCCTTACCACAGGTTATTTTAAACCCACAAATGTATCTTAATCTGTGCTCATGTATTCATTCATTCATATTCCACTAGCTAGTAGTTACAGACTGTTTTTATGAAATGTGTTGGTAAAACCTATGCTCTGTCTTTTTATCTCCAGACTGTTATGGGAAGTGTGGATCCCAGTGATGCGGACTTGTGTATCAGGCTGGCAGCCTCGCATGGTCGGGCCAATGGTGGACTGTGTAGAAGTGTGGGCTCCTCTTCTGCCTCTGTGGATCCTGGATCACATATTGGAGCAGCTGATCTTACCCCGACTACAGCGAGAGGCAAGAAACACACAGTTAGATGAAGAGAAAATCACACGTTGGAGTATTTTACATAACTTACTTGTGGAAAACAGTTGGTTTTATACTTTCATTAACAACAATAGCATAGTTCTTAACATGTTAACCTTGTACTTTCTTTCCTGTTTGATAGGTGGATAACTGGAACCCCTTGACCGACACAGTGCCTATCCACTCCTGGGTCCACCCGTGGCTGCCTTTGCTCCAAACACGTCTCGAGCCTCTTTACCCTCCAATTAGGAGCAAACTGTCCAACGCCTTGCAGCGGTGGCATCCCAGCGATGCCTCAGCCCGCCTCATCCTGCAGCCGTGGAAAGACGTTTTCACACCAGGTGCATGGGAGGCTTTCATGGTGAAAAACATCATCCCTAAACTGGGTACGTGTCCATCAGTGACGGCCTTATATATGTGCACAGCCAAGGATGAAAATGTGCTTCCCTACAGTCTCTCTCGACCTTTTCCCATCACTTTTGCCCGCTGATTTTTCTTCAAGTCTTCACTCCTGTTTGTTTCCACAGCTTTGTGTCTGGAGGAGCTGGTCATCAACCCTCACCAGCAGCAGATGGAGCCATTTTACTGGGTGATGGACTGGGAGGGCATGTTGTCCCCTTCCAGCCTTGTGTCCCTGCTAGACAAAAACTTTTTTACAAAGTGGCTGCAGGTCAGTGCGTGTACTTACACAGTAGTAGTCCAACTGGTTATTGTACACATTTAATTTGATTAGATAGTTATAATCTTTTGTGTCTGGCTGTGTTTTGTCGATAATAGGTCCTGTGTTCATGGCTGAGCAACAGTCCCAACTATGAGGAAATCACAAAGTGGTACCTCGGCTGGAAGAGCAAGTTCAGTGACGTCTTGTTGGCACAGCCCCTTATTAAAGAGAAATTCAATGAAGCATTGGACATCATGAACCGTGCAGTGTCTTCGGGCATGGGTTGGTACCACACACAGCCTGGCCATACATAGTGGACACAAGAATATTATAACGCAACCTGGGTTTGCAAATATGATAATAAAGCAACTGAATAAGTTTTCTCTCTACTGTAACAAACCATACTGTAACACTTTTTTATGTCCATAGGTGGATATATGCAGCCTGGTGCAAGAGAGAACATCGCATATCTGACACAGACAGAGAGACGGAAGGACTTCCAGTATGAAGCGATGCAGGAGCGCAGGGATGCTGAGAGCGTGGCTCACAGGGGCATCAGCGCTGGCGTGCCAACCAACTTTAAAGATCTTATCCAGACCAAGGCAGAGGAGAACAACATTGTCTTCATGCCCTTAGTGGCCAAACGGCATGAGGGGAAACAGCTGTACACGTTTGGCCGTATTGTAATCTATATAGACAGAGGGGTTGTGTTTGTGCAGGGAGAGAAGACCTGGGTGCCCACATCTCTGCAGAGTCTCATAGATATGGCAAAGTAAGCATGGAAACATTAAGTCCTGCCAAGTGTAAAAAGACAAAAAGTTGAGGAAATGTTTGTTTTTTTGTAACTACAGTATACTGAATATTTGTCATAGATCTGTTTGTAAAATTTTAAACTGTCAGAACTGTGAATAATAAACATTTTTTGAATGTATGTGGCGTGCTTTGTTTTATAAGAGCTGAATGTAAATACAAGTTGTTTTACTTATACAATGTAAAGCAAAGTACTTGTATGTATATGGGAGGTGTGTTTTTTTTGGACACATATTCCTTACAGGCTATTATTAGTCTTCTTGATAATTTACAACATAAAAAAACAATACTTAATGTAGATGTGTAACAATGATTAGAATGTAATTTTTTTTTTTGTTACCATTGTTTTCTTCATTTTTCCGTTTGTATTGGGTTAACAGTATAACACTAGCTACACGGGGAGGGTGGCAGTGTAGCTGCTGTTAGCCTCAAAGAAAACGAAGAAGAAGCTGCTGCTGCTTCCTCCAGCCGGTGTGAGGGTTTGTGGCACGGCAGGGCTTCCGTACGTAGTCGGCGCGTTGCGGTAGAGCGCAGTGTTCTGTGTTTGTTTCTGTTTTAAAAAATTCTGACGTATTTTTTACACCCAGAAGGTATGTGGATATTTATAGACATATAATCGAACATACAGTATATCGACAGTTCGGTATCTATGATGAGAACTTCGTCTTTGTTAGCCGACAAGCTAACGGTTGTCTAGCTAGCAGCAAGCTAGCCTGACTTAGCTAACAGAGGCTACAGTGCTAACATTAGCCTGCATGCTACTCGGGAAGTGTTGGTTAGCGTGTGTGTTTCTGTATTCAGGCCATGTATTGTATATTTTTGTCCAGCTTCCAATGTCTTCGGACGCCCTGAAGAAGCGAAAGTCGAAGGTTCTCCGCAGTGATGGAGGAACCCCAGAGATGAAGCGAGGTCGCGGAGAGGGCGACATTCAGGTGACGTTGGGGAAGATGAGGGGGGTCACAGGGGCAACAGTGTGCTTTAATCTGTATGGATCTACACTGAAATGCTGGACTCAAGGCCTAGAAAACGATCGCACTGGCAAGCTGTCACTTAGTAAAGGCAGAGACGTTGAAGTCTCTCGTGAAATTAAAGGGCCAGAATGCTGATCCTAAGAACTTTGAGGTGTAATATAACAGCTGTGTATATAAAGACACTTACTCCTGCTATCCCTCTAGTCCTTCTCAACTAGATGGCCTTTCAGGTCCACATCAGCTGCCTTGTGGTCAACTGTGCTGCTCCTCGCTGTCAGTCACTTAACAGAGCAAACACATAGACAGATTTCTTCCTGAAGGGAGCCTGCACAGGAGCTCAGCTGTATTTTGAGCTGCAGACAGTAAAAAAAAAAAAGAAAAAGCCTGTTTAGAAAAGGACTCAAACCAGGAGTTATACAGTCACTGGAAAATATATGATCCTTTGCAGTATTTTGAGTGAAACCTGAGAAGAAAGCATTTCAGGGACATGTGAGACTTTAATTTGATTTGAAGAGGCACGATATGGGGCCTTTAAAATAGACCCTGACCTGCTAAGTAATGTGCGCTCAAGTGATTTAAATAGTTATTTACAAGTCTACGTACAAAAAGGTATGTATAAAGTAAGTTATGTTCAATGTATACAATATAGAGACACTACTGAGACAAACAATGACATATTTCTGAGTTCGTCATATACTTATTAACTTGCATAAAATGCAGTGTCCAGCAGAACTTTAATGTCTTATTTCAGAAATAATCAGATTTGAGTCAGTTTTCTGACGATCCACGCAAGCCCTGCAATTGTATTTTACTAGTTAATATTTTATTTTGTCCATGTCCTGTTACTTAGACCAACAGAACGTCGCATAATCTTCTTTTATGATTTGGATGAAAGTGGTCATATGAATCACAGATGCACTACTGGAACAATACTAGATTGATTGTACATCTTGTTTTTAAGCGCTATGTGTCATGTTACCAACCAGCTACTCAGGCATTAATTTGGAATATGGAAAATGTGCGCTGTCAGTGCTGAATTTTGAGTCAAGTTGTTGTAAAATTTGGGCGGTAATTCAATCACTCACCACTGCTTTGACCACAAGTAAAGAACAGTTGCACTCAGAGCAGATAAAAGGGGGGGCTTAAGTTGAACTAAGACCAACAGGGGTGTGACATACTGTGTATATTGATGTAGTTTCCTTTCTTTTTCTTTCCCAGGATGTGCGTGTGTATAGTGAGGAGGTGGAGCTGGACGGCAGGAGCCCTGACCAGGACTACTCACAGTACAAAGAATCATGTGAGAGTCTGGCCACACTCATGAGTGAGATCCAGGAACTTAAAGCCAATGGAGCCAAGGAAGGGGTAAGAGTCTTACTTAAGATGCACATCCAGACTCCTCTATTGTTACAGACTGATTTGATTGCCAGCAATATTGTAAAAGCATTAAAGGCTACTTGAGCTCATCAGTGTGGTTTGCTGGTTTGTCACATTTCCCCACAATAGAATCCTTATATGTACAGTTTGTGGTATTGATAAATCCAATACATCACTACACGGATTCTGTGTCTCGTCCATGATAATGAAGCCTAACTGGTTGTATTTCTTTTCAGTGTGTGGAGGTCGAGCAGAGGCGTATGCAGAGCTGCATCCACTTCATGAATCTGAAAAAACTCAACCGCCTGGCTCATATGCGTCTAAAGAGAGGCAGAGACCAGACACATGAGGTAATTCACACATAACTCTCACATACTGGTTATGAGATCTTAAAAGAAATACCAGTTTAGGTCAAGTTCTCTCTGTTCCATGTATTTGTTTAAAAAAAAAAATGCTGCCTCAACTCCCTTTTGTGCTGATCACTTAAGGAAAGTTGAACACTGGGCACTTTGTTTTCTCCTTTAACACCTTACTGCAGTAGCTGCCACTGTCAGCAAAGAGAGCTTATACACCCCCTGGTTAATTTGTTGTTGTTTAGAGATTATTGATTTAGATGCCAATTCTGTGTATTGATCTTTGTTCGGATTCTTGGCATGTTGTGTAGAAGGCTTATTATTTTTTTGCAGAGAGACCGAGTAGCGTTTGTAAAACCAGCTGTACCGGTGTTTTATCTGTCTCCCCTCAGGCAAAACAGAGAGTCGATGTGCTTCACCTTCAGCTGCAAAACCTGCTGTATGAAGTTATGCATCTTCAGAAGGAGATCAGCAAGTGTCTTGAGTTCAAGTTAGTACAAAATGTTTAATACAGTATTCACCAAGCAATGTGACTCACTTCAGATCGTAGTTAAACATTAGAGCAGACTTTATTGAGCGGTTTAATTGTACACATTACAAATTGCATATCAGAAACACCCAAAATTATGCACCATCAACATCCCCACTCTATGAGAATCTACTGTCGTGAAGTCAGTCAATGAATGTGAACTTCAGTGAAAAAATGACTTCTTAGTTCAATCCTTTTCAGTTCATATGCAGATTTTTATACATGTATGTTTTCAAAGTGGTATTTACGTTATTTTCTCTGTCACAGATCTAAGCATGAGGAAATAGACTTGGTTAGCGAAGAAGAGTTTTACCAGGAAGCTCCGCAGGAGATATCCAGGCCTCCCCTCACAAAAAATGATCCCCACCAACTCACACTGGCACGACTGGACTGGGAGCTCGAACAGAGGAAGAGGTACAAATCTTACACAAAGCGTTGTGCTTATGTAGCGTGTTGTCTTCAAAAGTTCAGTCTTGATTTTGCAAAGGGCAGTTGTTAAAAGTTTGTGGTTGGATATAGGTTGGCAGAGAAATATAAAGAGTCACAGGCCTCAAGGGAGACGATTCAGAAGAGCATTGAGGTGAAAAAGGAGCATCTGAGAAGCTTGCAGCCAGGACTCAATGCCATCATGCAGGTATATTAGCTTTTAATGGAAATGTTTTTTTCTATTTTGAAAGGAGCATCCTATCATTTCTTTCCCAGCCTCAACAGCTTGATCCATTTTGTTTTAAAACCTGTTCATTTCTTATTTAGAATATTGTTACATTTTTCTATTTATAATGCAAAGTGTTTAATCTCATTCTCAGTGACCAGTTAACCTTATCCTCTCCTTTTAATGGCCTTCCTTTTTTCACAGGCCTCTCTCCCAGTGCAGGAGTACCTCTCCATGCCATTTGAACAGACTCAGAAACAGACAGAGGTGGCCCGTCACATGCCTCCACCTCTCTATGTGTTGTTTGTTCAGGCCAATGCCTATGGCCAAGCCTGTGGTAAGTTAACACTGGAGAATATGCCCATGCCTCAGCACAAACTTGAGTCGTAATAGTGGGATGTAAGTTGTGATCATTGTTGTTTTTGTTTTGTTTTCAGACAAGAACTTGTGCGTCTCAATCAGCGGTGATGTGGATGAGGCCAAAGCCCTGTCCAAACCCCCAGATGATTCCCAGGGTACAAACACTACTTGGCAACATACATACTTTGTGCACTAAGCACACAGCCATATTGTTTTGTGCTGTTGTACTCTGTATTATTTAGGACTGTGAGAGATGCAATCCCAACAGAAAACATAAAACTATGTGTTCTGGTTTTATCCAGATGATGAGAGTGATTCAGACGCCGAGGAGGAACAAGAGAAAACAGTGAGTCTAAGGCCTGGCTTTACTCCAGAGCACTTACCCTTTCACACTCAGACACACACACACACACACACACACACTCAGTCACAGGTCAATGAGTTCAGTTATTTCTTAATATACCCTTGTCTGCACTCAACACACAAACTCTCCCTGAAGCCTTGGCTGTCACACATTGTGGTTTGGTGGGTTGGAAAGCAGCAGCTATTGATCGATTTCTGCATCCAGAGTGCCAGTAGGTGGGGGGTTCTGGGAAATATTCCCCAAGAATGGCGAGGTGACTGTAACCTGAGCGCACCTCGGACATGCACAGTCAGCACCAAACCGGTGCTCATTTTTGTTGTCAGGATGCTGTCAGGATGTTTCTCTCGTGGTGAAGTGAATATGTATTTTCCAAATTACTGATTTGGGGATGAATGTTTTTGTATTGTATTGCAACTTGTGTCTGGCCTTTTATCGTCACACGATAGCTTGTCTGAAGTACCCTTATCTTTTGTCAGTCTTTCACTGCGTCCAACTGTTGTTCTGAATTTCCTCCTTGTGTCTTTAGAGATGCTACGTCATTATCATGTTTCTTCTATAAAAAGCTGTAATTTGATGCAAAAAAAATAAAAAAAAATCCTGATTCATTTGATAAACCACAATGTCAAACTTGTACTTTGCTCGCTTTTTTTTTTTTCTTTTCTTCTCTTGATTCCATTTTTTTTAATGTGTCTTTGACAGAAGAGAAGAAGGCCGACCACAGGTGGCCAGCTGGATGATAAAAGACGGGAGATGCTGAAAAGGCACCCTCTGTCCCTTTGCTTAGACCTGAAGTGTAAAGGTAACCCATTCTGTATGCTTGATTTCTTTTGTTGGTTAAAGTCTGCTCAAAATAGGTCGCTGGATTTTGTGCAGGTTGAAACACTCCCTATCTTCACACTGAATGTTTAAGCTCAAATATTTACAATTCCTCTGTGTTGGATTCCTTGTAATGCGACCATGTGTATGCTGTGCTGTGTAGTAACTCGATACCTATTAGATAGTATGAAAAAAGGTGCGTGCGACCCACTCTACTGTGACATGACACCACTTGACCCTTGTGTTCCCTCTGCTGGCTACAAAAGGAATATAGTGACAGATTATAGGGAGATCTGCATTGCAGGCGTAACTCTACCTAAAGGGGAAGGAAGGGAGGGGAGGGAGAGAGGTGAGAGAGAGAGAGAGAGAGAGAGAGAGAGAGAGACACGCTTGCAGCATTGTAGGTCTGCAGCACCTACAACATCTCGTAAGCATATTTTCTCATCACCAGTCTTTTATTTCCAGTGCTGTCCCTCTCCCCAGTTTTCTCCACTGCTGCCAGATGCAGCAGTCTGTTTACTGCTGCAAAAGCAAAAAGCGAGTAGTGTAGGTGTGAGTGAGTGACAGCGTGTCACTGAGTTCACTGTGCCTGCAGAGAGTGGAGCGTGAAAGATGACCATCAGCATAGTGTCTGTGCCCCCTTGGTGCTGCTAGCTGCCGTTGTGGCCACACCCTGGTATTGCTCTCTAATGCGCTGCAGTGTAAAGTGAACCCAGGGGGGCGATCGCTGGAAGGATTAATGAAAAGAGTGGGGCACTGAGAGTATTGGGTTAAGATGGAAATGGATTAGCTCACCCCCCTTGTGTTTATCCGCCTTGTCTCCACAGATGGCAGCATCCTCCATCTCTACTTCTACTACCTGATGAATCTCAACATTATGACTGTAAAGACCAAGGTCTCCACCACCACAGATCTCAGCACTGCCATCAGCGCAGGGTGTGTGTGTGTGACCACAAGCATTTGACTCCCTCCCCCTGGCTTCTTGAGAATCCCAAAGAAAGTCTAATAATGTCTTCTTTTCCAGGGACCTGCTGAAATCAGACACTCTGCTCAGCTGTCTCTACACCAACGACCAGGGACGAGAAACACCCAATCCAGCTAATCGCTACCAGTTTGATAAAGTCGGGTAAGGATGTCACACAACTACAGTGAATAGGAAGTCGTTTACTGGATCACGCGACTGAATTTCACAAAACAATATTAACCCAAATTTTGTTTTTAGGATTGTTTCCTTTGCGGATTACGTGGAGGACCTGGGTCACCCCTATATGTGGGTTCAGAATCTGGGAGGACTACATTTTCCAAGTGATTCCTCAGAGGTGTGTGTTGAAATCAATGGTCAACCCTGTAGAGCACATTTCCACAGTGGTACAACTGTATAATATTGGCTATGTGGTGTTCATGTGTTTCCAGGGTGTGCGTGTTGGCAGTTCTCTGAGTGCCAGCCACATGGAGACCACCATGAAGCTGCTGAGGGGACGAGTCCAGTCCCGCTTGGCTTTGCACAAACAGTTTGCCTCTTTAGGTGTGTACATTATTTGTTAATAACTGCAAATAAAAAAATAAAAACAAATAATGGACATGAACAATGATTTTATGGGCTCCTGTCTGTAGAACACAGCATCATCCCAGTCTCAAGTGAGTGTCAGCACTTCTTTCCTGCCAAGATCATCTCCCGCTTGCAACGCTGGACCACCATCAGTCACCAGGAGTACATGGTACATAAAAGCAAAACGCATGTTTATTGGTATTGATATTTGGAATCCCATGTAATTGAATATTTATCAGAAATACACCTGATGTTCTAACATGTTTTACTATGATTTTGTATTCATTTCAAGGAGCTGCAATACACACGTCATGTGACTGATGCTGGCTTGGCAAAGGAGACTGATCTGTACTTTATGGCAGTGGTCGAAAGAGGCACAGGTACATCCAGCCAACGACAACAGAACTGAGTATTCTTGATTATGTCATTTGAATTAGTTTTTGTGAACAACTTGCCTGTACTCTTCTCAGCTCGCCTCCAGGCTGCAGTGGTGATGAGTCCTCGTTACCCAGAGATCTCCCCTCTCTTCTCCCTCTCCCTGAGCTGGAAGGGAGAACGCAGTGGACGCACCGATGACAACCTCAGGGTATGAACATTTCAATAATGGCCGTTTACAGCCCAGAAGCTTGTGCTCTGGGGCTGTTAACACCTAGTCAAGTCACTAACCACAAACATGTTTTGTCATGCTCTAATGAATCGTTTACTTCTGTAGGCCATGGAGAGTGAGGTCAATGTGTTCAAAAATGAACTACAGGGACCACGCCCAGGACACCAGCTCCTGACCAATCAGTTTGCACGCCTGTGTGTCTGCTTGGATGTGTATCTGGAGACTGAAGGACAAGATGACGGTGTGGAAGGACCTCGAGAGTTCCCCCGTGAAAAGATGTGCTTGCGCACTGTCAGGTATGCAGCTGGCAAGAGAACTGGTAAACTGTTCACACACACTTGATTAAAGACAGAATAGTTTTACATCTGACATTTCTCATCTCTTTGAATTCAGGGGCCCAAATCGTCTGAAGCCATTCAAGTACAACCATCCTCAGGGCTTCTTCAGTCATCGTTAGAACTGTATATACACTGTACCTACTGTAGTTACAACTCTTAACTCCTTCAAGCTTACCTTTGTGGCTCTTTGACACACAAAGCATCCTTTTTAAAAGTCTTCATACCATTTTGAAAATAAAAGAACCTTGTTATTTTCTTCAATGAGCGTGTATTTTGTCTTTTTATTGATTGTTGCATTCAGGCTTTGCTGTTCACTCCAAATTTTCCTGTTTCATCCCCCCGTGCTCCTCTCCATCCTCACCTACCTGTGCTGCTCTATTTATAGGTGTCGTCTGAGGTAGCTGATTATTATGCCATTGTGGTTCAGTGCTGGAGCAAGCTGAGTCATTTCCACAGAGAATGATGATATACGATATTTACCACATTGTCTGCACTTAGCCTTTGACCTTTCATTTATCATCCTGGCTTTAGTAATGGCAAAACAGGTTGTTATTTAGGACACTGAGAAGCCCATCAAGGATTGCTCTCATTTTATGATTAGCTCGCAGCGCAAGTATCACTCTCCTATTTTCTTGCACATTGCAGCACAAATCCACCAGGATGTAACACAATCCATAGCTTAACGCCTCATGGATAAGGATGTGTGTAATGTAGTTAGAATAAGAAGGAACTGTTGTCTATGTTTGAGAGTAAGTCACTGGTAGTGGTTGCTATTTTAAATATTTGAAGATTTTCTGTCAGTGGTGAAAACTACTGCAGTGAGGGAGTTTTGCTGATACTTGAGCTAAGAGGTTTTTTGTTTATAATCTGCTTGGAGTAAAAAAAAATCATTTTGGAAGCGAAGGCATGGTTGGAGGTGGTGCTTTATTCTCAGTATAAAGAAGATGCAGGCAGATAGCTTATCTTGGCTGCCATTCACGGTGAACTTCTCTGCAATTTCTCATTTTGCACAGAAAGCGGTTACAATTACAACTGATGCAAAATTCAAACGTGTTAAAGTGTGTTTCAATAAAAAAAAGGTAAAACTGCAAAAACTCTTATAAAACAGCCAGAACACTAAAATGCATAAATGTTCTTTGTCACTTCCACCTTCTGTGTTCCATGACACAGCTGCTGATCCCGCTAATACAAAGCCATCTATCAGATGCAGTGAGATTGGATTTACGGGGGGGGATATGATGCAAAGAGAACGCTGAAGTCGTGCCAGGAGAGAAATCCTTCCAATGTCAGCCAAAGTGTGCAACGTCAGTATTTTACCAATTAATAAAAAAAATAAAAAAAGCTCTTCAGTGGCATAAATGTACCTGCTTTTTAAATATTCATGTGCTGATATAATGAATGAGATTTGTCACCATCTGCTGCACTCATTAGTTAATCCTATTAAAAATGTATCTCCGCCTTTTTTTTTTTCTTTTTTTTTTTGTGAATGATTGTAGAGCTTTATGAATAGCTCAAATACTACCGCAAGTCATGACCAAAAAGGGAGGATTTGCATTTCCTCATTAATTTTGTATGCTTTCAAAATGAGGGGCCTGTTTCCCGATCAGCCTCGAGGCTCCTCATGATACCGAACCTGTTAATTATAGCAATTATGAATTAATAATACCCAGATAAATGTGGGAGATATAAAAGGATTATAAAAGACGCTATCCGGTTTCACGGAGCAGTGAAAAAGGAGGGAAACCGAGTCCGTTCTGTGCGTGCAGAGCAACACCGCTCTTGATTAATACATGAACGTGGGATGTGAGGGAGGGTGCGGTGGCTGCTGAGGGGTGGGTACAGCTCCCCCTCTCCTCCGCCGCAATGCAGTGCAGTAACTCGCAGCATTTCTGCCTTTTGGCCTCACCACCTTGTGCGATTATTCCTCACACTTTAGAAATCTTCACGTGCGGTTTAATGTGTGCAAAGAAAACTCCACAAACGCCTCTTGTGTTTGATTTTTAATTTTTTTCATTCTTTATTTACTGTTTCATATTGCATATTCTCAGCAGTTTATACATAGCACAGTCATCATTGTCCTAGCGTTGCAGACTAGACGAGTGAGACACTGCAGTTTCACCTGTCAGGAGAAGCTGCGTTTAAGGTGCACCACAAGCAAAAATTCAAGTCTTTCTTACTGGTGTATCTGTAAATATAATATAGACATTTGTATCTCCTTAAATATACATTGTTTTTTTAAATATTCAATATCTGTAACAATCTTTAGCTTGACGTTGTTTTGACATCTCTACCCTTGAAGGCTTGTGTAGGTACAGCAGGACGCCACTGCCCCCTTTCCCCATCACCGGGATTCAGTTTAAATGCACTTGTTATTTATTCATTAAGGGCAGTTGTCACATTCAGATAAAGAGTTTAGAGCATTCTGCATTCACTACAATCATACATCAGAAGCATCAGGGGTTTGTAATGGCCATACTTAGGGAGCACGGGGTTATTTGCTACAGAAATCACTATTGCTTACATACTGTGACCTGCTCTGCTTTGGACGGTAAATTGCCCATATGAACACCTCAGTACGTCCAGCTCCTTCATTCTCTATTTACCCTGCTTTTACTTTTTTTTTTATTTACCTCCCTCCTTCCTTCATAGTTCTTTGGCATCTCCTCCTCCTGTGGCCCTGAAACTCGACATTTCACTTCTTGGCCTTCTCCTCCTTCGTCTCCTTTGACTCGGTGCCGGAGGATTTCTCTGCTTTCTCCGTCTTCGCAGCCTCCTTCACCTCTTTACTCTCTGCTTTACTAGCCTCCTTTTTCTCCTCTGGCTTCTTCTCCTCTTTCTTGGCTTCTGTCTTCTCGGGTTCTACTTTAGGCGCAGGCTTTTCTTCTGGCTTCTTCTCCTCCTTCTTGCTCTCGGTTTTCTCAGGCTCCGCTTTAGGGGCTGGCTTTGCCTCAGGCTCGGCCTTCTCTGCTTTAGGAGCAGAGGGCTTCTCCTCCTTAGCAGGGGGAGCGCTTTCTTTCGGCTCAGATTTGGGGGCTGGTTTGTCGTCGGCGGGCTTGCTGGGAGTCGCAGGTTTTGAAGCTTCCTCCTTTTTTGGTGCTTCCTCTGCTTTGCTCTCTTTCTTCGTATCAGGTTTGTCCTCCTTCTCTGGCTCTTTCTCTTTGGGCTCCTGCTTCTTCTCCTCCTTCACCGGCTGCTCTTTTTCCTTCTTTTCCTCCTTCACGGGTTTCTCTTCCTTTTTCTCCTCCTTTTTCTCCTCTTTAGGAGTGTCTTTGGCAGCTGCAGGCGTGGCCTTCTCTTTCTCTGGAGACTTGGGTTCTGGGGTCTTGGGAGGAGGAGATTTAGGTTCAGGGGATTTGCTGGGTGGGGATTTTGACACTGGTGACTTCGACTCGTCTCCTGCAGGAGACTTAGCAGGTGATTTGGGCATCGGGGATTTGGCTGCTGGTGATTTGGATTCTGGTGACTTTTGTGGTGATTTAGACTCTGGTGATTTGACAACGGGAGATTTGGGCTGAGGGGATTTTGAGGGAGGAGATGCAGCCTTTTCTGGAGACTTGGACTTCTCTTCTTCCTCGGCTGCCTCTTCTTCGTCTCCTTTCTCCTCTCCTTTCTCCTCTGCTTCCTCCTCTTTTTCCTCCTCTTCCTTTTCTTCCTCCTTCTCTTCCTCCGCCTCTTCCTCCTTATCTTCACCTTCCTCACCTTCTCCCTCCTCTTCCTCTTCTTTGGTTTCCTCACCTTCCTCTTCCTCCTCTCCTGCTTCTTCCTTCTTTTCCTCCTCCTCCTCTTCCTCCTCCTCTTCGTCATCTGCCTCCTCTGTCACCTCCGTCACCTGAGTCTCATCTGTCTGCTCCTCTACGATTACTGTATCTGAGATCTCTTCTCCTTTCACTTTCAAGTGGGCAGAGATTCTGCTCTCCAGATAGGAGTATGGGCCGCCACCTGACACAAAGCGATTCTCCTCTCCCTCCAGCAGCTTCCTGTTTCAAAGACAGATCGAATCAGTGAGAATGTTAGGAACTTTCAACATTAGGAAACAGACATATTTAATTATGTGTGTTTTCTGACCCTGACTGACCTGTAAGCAGCAATCTCAATATCCAGAGCCATCTTGACATTCAGCAGCTCCTGGTAATCTTTCAGCTGGCTGGCCATCTCCCATTTGGTGGTTTTCAGCTCATTGTCCAGCTGGTTGATGGTTTCCTGGAAAAATGAAAACACACAAACTTGTAGATCAGATATCATGCTGAGGACCTGAGAGGAAACGTGCAAAAGCATGCATTTGTGATTGCACGTCTGCACTGATGTCCTGCCTGTAGTGAGCCGAGGTCATCTTGGTGTCTGTCTTCGCTCTCCATACGCTGCCTCTCCAGTGACTCCTTGGTTCCCCGAAGAGTCTCCAGCTCAATGGTGCGGCTCTGGAGCTGACGGCGGTATTCTGCAATCTCCTCCTGGGATCCGCGGATTGCATCCTGGTTAGACCTAGCAGCTTCAGACAGGCGCTCCATACGCACTGTTGGGAATGCAGACAAAAGTTAAAACAGTTTTATACACTGAGTCTAAGATTTTTTGCTGTGTCACACCTCTGACTGGCTTTTGACTCATGTATGAAATTCAGAATTCTAAAGGCATGCATAGGACTTTTTTTTAAAAAATCCTAAGACATCTGACCGGTCGTGCCTTTAGAGAGCAGACAGCTACGACTGGGAGTGTGAGTAACCTTGACACTGTCCATCTGTCAGTCAGTAGTCTGACTCAGCTCCCTCCCTCCTCCAAGCATGAATGAGCCACTGCTGCAGTCAGCTGGACACAGAGAAGGTCATTATGTTTGCACCTTTTACTGGCTGCACCAGGTCAGCATGTGAATGTACTGGAAGGGCTGATGTGTGGACCATTAAGTCATGTGACATGCTATTAAACTACTGTGTACAAGAAACACTTTTTGACTTTCACACTGGCCAGTAGTGTATCTGTGTAGCACCACAAAGGTCAGCAGCGTCCTGTCATTCTCACAGGTGCTGGAGGATGATGTCTCAGTTATTGCATTGCTTCAGTGAGTCCATCCATCATATGTGCGGGTACAGGCTGCTTCGAAGTCTATGATTAAGTCTAAAGATGACATCAGTCACGAGTCACAGAAGAAACATTACCAGTCTTGTGCGCCGGCCACACACAGTGACCTTGAAAACGACAATATTTGGGGAGGTTCAAGGTAACACAGATACATCAACACAAGGGGAGCAGAGACACAGAGCGCATGAGGCGACAGCAAGAACACACCTACTGTTACCCACAGTGAGAGTGCAAATTAATCATGGTCTCCTCTCTGTGTGTCATCTCACGTCTGCAGTGCTTGCCTTAAATAAAAATGATCATTCTGCGGCAAAGACGCAACCACAGGAAAAGGACACCAACTACGCTGGAAGGCGTGTTAGTTGAACCTTGATCTTTGCGCATTTTCTAATCAGGTTTATTTGCTTTTATTTACTTAATTAAACTTTTTTTGCTCTGTTAAACTTTGCGATCTGCCAGGTTGGTGGTTTGAAGATTATCAGATATTTAACTAAACCTGCAGGATTTGTTGTCCTGCAAAGATTTAGAGGCTATCAAAGTGACTGACCCTTGCATCTCTGACATGTCGTCAAGCAAGATAGTCTGCTGCGAGCGACTGCTCATCAGCTTTAAGTTACCATCAGAATATGGCTAAACGGTTTAAACGGGTTCAAACTTCAGCACCACGGACAGAGAACAAGCCTTACTTTACGCACTAAGAAGTTTCAGCAGAAAAACCATCTAATAACTTTGCTCCCTCTTTGATCCAGCTCACCTTTGAACCACTCCTCGGCGTGCGTTGCGCTCTTGGATGCGTGAGTGTCCAGCTGTGAGCGGATCTCTCGCAGTGCGCTGGTGACGTCCGCCTTGAGCGCGTCCCGCATGTCGAAGCTCACCTGCGCGCCCTGAATCTGCGCCAGGAGCTCCATCACTTCTTCCTCGTGGTTCTTCTTCAGAAAAGTGGCCTCCTCCTCCAGGGCGCGCATCTTCTTGTCCAGCTCCAGACGCGCCAGCCTGCACTCCTCCACGTACTTCTTCATGGCGCGAACGCCAGCCTCCAACTCCTCCCGGTTGCGCGCCTCATCCTCCAAGCGGACCCGGAGGTGCTGGATGTCCTCCTCCAGGTGCTCGTGCTCCAGAGCGGCACGGGCCTTCTCTCCGGTCAGCTGCTGCAGGAGCCCCCTCAGGTCACCCAGCTCCCGCTCGTAGTGCTCCCCAACCGACGCGCGTCCGGCCTGGCTCTGCCGCAGCGCCGCCGCTTCCGCCTCCAGGTTGCGGTTGTGCATCTCCAAGTTCCGCACTTTGTCGATGTAACCGGCGAACCGGTCGTTCAGAGCCTGCAGAATCTCTTTCTCGCTCCTCCGCGTCATGTCGCCGTTGAACGTCTCCAGGCTGTCGATGGAGGACGGCTGGCTGTAGGTGAGGCGGCGGCGCTGGGAGTGGAAGCCGCTGGAGGACACGGACGCAGGCCGAGCCTTGCGGTACGAGCTCGGGCCCATGAAGTGGTGCTCTACAGTGAAACTCATGTTGGCCGGGCCGGAGGAGAAGTGACTGCAGTAGGAGGGAGAGCGCTGGGCTTTTATAGGAGGGAGGGAAAACTCACTAGTCAGCACCAGGACACACGCTTTTAAAGAGATAGCCTGGGCTGTGTCTTCTTCAGAAAACTACTGGCTGCGCAAGAATAGATCTATTCATTCTGTGATCAGCGTAGCATCTTGTAGAGGAGTTGTACTTTAATGCATTTGGGTTCATCAGGTGCAATCTGGTGAAACAATAAAAAGAATGATCGATTTCATAACATATCCATCCAGGCATCCACTCCTCTATGTTTAAGGTGTTTTAAAACTCTTGAGGGAAGTATAGCTTATGCATTCAATGATTCAAATATTGATATTTTTTTTAGACCCATTTGCATTTGTCAATCTTTATGGATGTCTACAAACATTCCTGATAAATTATTCATTTTTGAGGGCTTTTAAAATGCAAAGACACATTCATATTTCTGTGGCTAAAGTCCATGTGAACTGATTGTGTGGGTGTTCGGTGTGTTCTGCTGATGCTCACTGTAGCTTCACTGCTGCAGTGTGAGTTTGCAGATCCACGCCATCCCCCCTGGGACTCAACTCTAACTGCTGGGCCATTGATAGACTCTCTCTCTCTTACTACACACACACACACACACACAAGGTCTGATTCTTTTCTTAAAATAGAACTCCCCATCTTTCAGTTGCTGCTTCTTTTTTTTATTGCAGAACAGTAATTCATTGCCAGATGTGCTCGCAGGCCAAGCGTGACATATTACACAGACCACCATCATGCAGCTGCAGCAGCATAAACATCAACTTTATGGTGTATCCACATCAGGATGTGCCTCAAGCTGCGATGATACAGCATCCACACAAACACAAACCCAGCTGTCCCCTGCTGATCTAAAGGGATGTCTGCTCTCAAAAGAGGACCAGCTCTGAAGAGCATGTACAGCACCTATTGATTACTCAAACTCAGGGTGAGTGAGTTTACTCTGCGTACCTTAAAGGAGAAAGGAGAATTGTGTGCACGCCTTTCCCTTGAGATGTACAGTGTTAAAGAACAGACGAATCAGCACGCAGTAATTTCTCTTGATCAGCCTTTATGTTAACATGTGTGTAGTCAGCCCAGTAACACCCATGGGGACTTCGTGACACCTAAGTCCTTAGTATGTCCTCCAGCAAATGTGTCATGCTTCTTTAAGGTCCTTAAATCTCACTTTCAAAGAGGAAACCCATTTCAGCTGCACAAATGTCTTACAGTGAGGCCCACAGTCGCTTTGTGTTTTGTACCACACCTCACATGCTTGGGGGGCCAATAGGTACGCAGTATAGAAATAACATGCGTCACATCCCCTCTCTCCACCGCCTTCATGTTTTATAAATGAGGACAAAGGAGCAGAGTAAGCAGAATCCAGCTGTGATGTTATGAAGATCCCATGACCAATGCGCCTGAATACCTTGTTATTTGACCCAACCATTAAAAGATGAAATCTAAGCAAAAAAAGAACACTTTCTGCAGCGCGTGAGTTAGAACGTACCTGCAGAAGAAATATCACTAACATAGAGGCCAGAAACCAAGAGTACCTATTAAATTCTGCAGCTCATCTGAAAATAAATCTATTTTCGCCAACCAAACTATGACATGATAGAATAAGACCTCTAAAACGTGACAGCTTACCTACCTACAAACAATTCACAACCAGTCTGCGGAAGCATGAAATATATGCTGTTGTTAAGTTCTCAAATTGAACACAATCTGCTTCTCAGCGCTGTCACGGGCGAATTCATCACAGCCAAATTTTATTACTCTGAAAGGTTGAAGAATTGCCATGAAAATGACATTGACAGGAGGGGAGGAGAGGGCCATGTGGCGACCTTGTCCTTGAAGGGATGGATAGAGAGACAGCGGCGGAGGGAGACAGATGTAGAGATGGAAAATTGCAGGATCGATGCAGAGGAAAATGTCAGAAAAAAAGTGAAACCTGTCCCTGTGGAGTGAAACATATCTTGTGTGCATATATGCATGGCTCCGCAGCTGCAGGTGCACGGAGCGTGTGCTGTGGAGGGGTGGCTGTCAGGAGCTTCCCTTGATTTTCCATAGTGGTATATTTAGACCTTTCAGTGATTTGAGACAATGAAAGAGAGAGGAGGAGCTGGGAGGGGGCCGTGATGAAGGCAGACAGTGGAGATCGCAGGGAAACAGATGATGAACTGATGGAGGGAGGACAGACTCGCAGACAGGAGGGTGAGAGGAGATGAGTGGAACTGGGTGAGAAAAGGGGGAGTCACCTTGGGAGGGACATCTAGAAAAATGGCTGTCCTGGCAGTCTCCAGGATGACTCAGCTGTAATACAATTAAGGCCTTGGACTTTGTTTGCTTGCTTTAGATGTGTATGTGTGTGCATGCATATGTATGCATGTGATTGTGGTCGCGTGCCAATGTGGCCAATGCTAATTTTTAAAGGAGTGGAGTGAAACGGAATACATTAAAGTTGTGCAGTTGTGAATGTGTGTGTGTGTATGTGTGTATTTGTGTGTGTGTTCTATTTTGAAGGGTGACTGACCATAAAGCAGACAGCAGCATCTCTCAACAGTTTCATGCCTGTGACAAACACAGTGATTGAAGTTTCTAGAACAGCAGCTGTCTCAACACAGCACCACCTGCTGGACAGTCAGTAGAGTGCAGGTGTAGTTCCCAGACGCGTCCACTGGGGGCAGCAGAGCCCCACAGGCACACTAACTCCGCTGTTTACTTCTGGTGTCAGCTGCTGCTGGTAGTCAGACGAGGGAAAGTTCAAACAAAACAGCACCAACTTTTCCATAAAACTGCAATATAGTATGTCATATAATGGCTCCACCACTGTCGTTATTAGACACATGGGTCCAGGAAAACAACGAGTTGGTGAACAAGTGTAAGGTAAGTAACGTTAGCCAGCAGCGTTTAAGCTAGCAGTTAACTACGTTTATCCTTGTGCTAGTTAATACCATACTACAGCGCTATGTATTTCATATAAGACTTCCATAACAAGACTGTTTTCTTCTTGTGTTTGATTTTATTTAGCTGAGCAGGCGATAATTTAGTATTTTCAGAGATACAAGACCTATTCGTATGTTCACTTGAGTGCACATGGCAACATCACTGTTATAAAAACACAATCAGAAGAACAGAAAAGCACTAAAGTAAAGACAGTAATTATCAAAAGTGTGTCATCATGCCCCATACCTCCTCCCCTAATGTTTATATCGCATTAATGGATTACTATTATTATACATTAACATGTCAGCACATTTTAATGCTGTAGCTGGTTGACTTCAGTTTTGTTATGTGTGTATACAGCTGGGCAGTGGTATCTATAACAGTGCATCACATTTAACAACCTAATCATATGTCCTGTTTGTAAAAAATATTTACCTGCACACTGACTTATAAGTGTATCCTATAAAGTCACTGAACAAAAATATAAATGCAGCCTGCAAATATTGTTCTTTTCTGACTTAGAGAAAAAGGTAGAAATCACATTTATTATTGTTATGGATAGAAAAGTGTTAGATGAAGCTAATTGTATACGTTGACTATTGTTTTACAGAGTTCAACTAGTGACACATTCTCAACCACTCAGTTAATCCACATCCTAGTCAGGTGGCTTCAAAGGACAATGATCAGACAGTGTAACCGTCACACAGACACTCCTTTGACCAGAGACTATAAAAGGCCACCTTAAAATGCAGCTTTATTTAAATGACACCATGCCAGATATGACCAGAGAAAGATGAAAACTGGCTGTTGGCATGCTGGATGCTGGCATACCAGACCTATGATTAGGCACTTGAATGTCCAAAGCACTATTTATCATCTAAGAAATCATTTCATGAAAGCGTGGTATAACACAGTTTGCTGCATGATGCTCTGGATGGATTTATCTGACAGCATGATCCTGTCCGCCACATGTTGACCAACACTGTCAAGCTCTTTAGGAAAAGTGAGACAACATTCTACAAACAGCATTGACAACTTCATTAACTCCATGCATCTGGTCTCTGACATCTCTCTTGGTCTGACAAATATCATTTCCAATGGAGTGTATACTTGGTTATTTCGTGGCATCCATTCAGTTGTAGTGATGCTGTGAGTTGGAACAGCGAATACTTATTCCTCTATGTTCAAAAGAATGGATAAAATTTAGTAAATTATAACATGCTGCATTTACATTTTTCACTGTATTTCTTAAATGTCGAAATATTAACCTGCAGAATCCATCTATTATCTATACACCACTTCATCCTCACTAGGGTTGCGGGGGGGCTGGAATCTATCCCAGCTGACTTAGGGTGAAGGCAGGGGCCAGTCTATCACGGGGCTACACTTAGAGACAGACAACCAAGCACACTCACATTCACACCTGTGGACAATTTAGAATCACCAATTAACCTCAGCATGTTTTTGGACTGTGTGGGGGAGGAAGCCGGAGAACCCGGAGAGAACCCACGCTGCACGGGGAGAACATGCAAACTCCACACAGAAAGATCCCAGGTGTCCTCTCCGGGACGCGAACCAGCGACCTTCTTGCTGCAAGGCAATGGTGCTAACCACCGAGCCACCTTGCAGCCCTAACCTACAGAATGACTGACTCAATCTAATACATATAGTTAATACAAAGGTACTATCTTTCTCTCTAACTTACAGTGGAGCAGGAATGTAAAGCTGCGTCAATGTAAATTCTCAAGTAAAATACAAGTATCTGATTACTGGTTATTGCCTAACAAGAGCAAACACTGTGTTACATCCTCTTCATGTTGTTGGTTTACTTTCACTTGATTTTTTTGAACAGCAAAAAGGAGAACAAGATGCCGTGAGCCGAGACTGCAGCCAGCCCCCTTTGAAGTGGTTCTCCTTTGAGTTCCACAAACTTTTAAGGAAAATACAAGGTGCTGCATCTCCTTCAAAATTCAAAGGCCTGACTTGTTAAGATAGAAAGCTCATTATCTGAATGTACTTTACTTATCCTCTCCTGCAGGTATTCCTCCTAATGCAGATCACACACAGTTGGAGCTGGCGGTGGTGTTTAATGCCGGTGTTTGCTCTGCTGCTCAGTCGCAGGTCTCTGAAGCTGAGTTGTTCCTCGCACAAGCCACAGAGAGAGGTGGGCATCTATGAAATGATAGCAAACCATAGGTGTAGTGATACAGGAGCTAATACCATAAATCATATTTCATGTTTATCAACTCGAACTCTTACAGCCTGCTCTTGTTGCTTACAGTGTTACAGATGACAGGAGGTGATGCTGGTGCTTCAGACCCTCTAGTGCGCTGGAGAACGGTTCTTAATTCAGTGGGAGACACAGCTTTGCACCCTTCTGTCTTGTACCTTCTCTGTCTGCAGTGGGCAATATGGCTGGCCACCTGTCAGCTGAAAACTATACAGGAATTTCAGGTAAGGTTATGTTTATATTCCCACTTCATTTGTTTCCTGTGGTTTAAAGGAATTCTGTTGCATCCTGCCAGTCAGTGCAGTTTGTTAAAGTGAGCTCCACTACGGTTTTCCCGTGATCTAACAAATGAAAAGGTTCAGTGATTGTGTTGGTCTCCAGGCCTTGTTGTCTCCTTCCTTTTTATCTTAT